AGTTATGAAGTCCATTCATGATGATAAATATATCATGAAAACTATATAGAAAAACTGTTATGATAGTATAGGATTCAATTTCATTTCATGCTTAATATTAAACTGACATGGCTCATGGAATTTATATTCCATCGAAATTAAAGCGTATTTACGATGCAAATTTTCTCCCCTCACATAATATTTGCCGCACGTACTCACTAATTGTTATCTATTTCTCAGTCATTCTCTAAATAGATAATTTATTACAAAATATATTGACATTCACTGAAATTACATAGGTATGAACATATTATAGTCCAGAGTATATAAATAGATAAGTGTGTAACACTTGTCTGATTTATATATAGAATGTGACTAAAAGAAGGTAATTAACTTCGAGAAATTGTTGAACGTTTGTTGTAATTAAAAATGGAAAATAAATAAAAAATTAAATAAAAAATTAAATAAATGAGAAATTAAATGACAATAAATATTACTTTTTCATTTTTCATTAATAAACATTTTAAGCTGTATCTCAGAAACAGTGGATTTGTGGGCACATGTTTATATAAACTTTTTTTTGTGTTTGATGTAGGGAGCACGTCGCCGAAGTTTGTTACCTTACTTTAGCCACACCCTGTATAAAGATTACAGCAATTTGTTTTATTTAGAGATATACAGTGTAGATGTACAATTTAAGTCACGAAAGCATTCGCTCTATAAAATATCTATTTTTAAAGCTTCTTGCTCTCGTGAAAAGGGGTATTTCGTCGCTTGAATGACAAGTATTAGCCCGTTTTTCTTATGACTTAGATGTGACTAGCATATTTTGCTTGTATTTTTTATCATAAAGACGAATTATTACTTAGTAATTTCTAAACGCCAGTCATGTATCTTTGTATTCCTGTATCTTTGTATTCCTTATAAACCTTTTCCTTTACAATACATATAGAAATTTCTTTCCCTCACCATTGTTATTATCCAAACAATATAATTTTCATTGCCTCAGTCAAAAAAATTTAATAGTTTAATAATAAAATTCTTCACATTAAAACATATTCAAAAAATTTAGAGTCATTACAATCTCACTTTCTGTTACAATATGTTGGCACAATATATTAATGTATTTATTTCAAGCAAAAGTTTAAAAATACATACGTTAATTCATTTTATAAAAATTTTAAATAATTACAAGATTATAGCCGACTAATCGCCGAATTATCATTTGTATGTACTTCAATATCAATTATGTATACGTTTTACATTTTATTATTATGCATAATAATCTCAGACAATATTATGCGACTGTAATGATTTATCTTTCGAACGTATGCAAGATATAAAATATAATTTGCATCAAGCATTAAAAAAACGTATTAACGTATTATTATCTGATAATAATCGTTATTGTGATAAATGTGAGGATTCTCTCACGAGCGATATGTACCATATGATATTTTCTCTAACAATGATAACTGTGTTTTTTTGGTAAATAATTAATAACTCGATCAGGATGAACATATATAACATTAGTCCAATATACGCAGTTTGTATAATAAAAAGAAAACGGTATTATAATCACAGCACTTTCGCTTAAAATTAAATAACATTCCGCGCGCTACAATCACAAAGACTTCTTTTCTGTCGATGTCTAGCGCTACCGCGCCATATGTACAATTTTTAAAACTACCTATGCTACGTAAGCGTCACTTATCCTTTGCAGTAACAGTACTTGCGTAAATGAAACAGCGAGTTTTCTACACATCTCGCCTGAGACCCGTACATGTTAATCCTGCTGACATCGGAGATCTGTAACAAGACAAGAACGACGTCGTTAGTCATGAAAAAACTTGTGCCCGCCACGGTCAAGTCGCTTCCGCGAACACACCTTAGTGTGGAAAATATTCTTCCCGAGATCCTGAACGATGCTCACTTCGAACAGCGCGTCGCCCGGTACCGTTCTCACTTTCAATTGATAAATCTCGGTCGTTACTTTGGTTTTGGCACTGAAATCACCTATGAAACCGTCCTGATCTCCGGACTTTCGGAAATTAAGTAAACCTGGAAAAATGTCGTAGGCATTTAGTGTCCCGTCCCATAAGTACACGGAAAGAATGATTTTGTTGAAAGATCTAAAAATTTTGCTAAAAACAAATCTGAAAATAATTTTTTGTTGAATTATCAATAATTTGTTGGAATGTTAAAACTGATATATGCATTGCTATACAACGTTTTGATATTCTAGCAATCACTTTGACTTTTACACAAAATTATTTTGATTATTAAACAAAAATTATTTTCAAATCTGGATTCAGCAAAATTGTTCTTTCCGTGTAGCATGCTGGTAAACGATGGCACACACTTTGCGCGTTTGCCGTACCTTTAGTTGGTATGAGCTTGGCAGCCCACAAGATCTCGTTCAGATGCAGTATCGCGCATATATTGTGATGATCCTCGGTGTAACTATTGAGAAATTGCACGAAGTAGTTGGCCGCCGCCACAACGTTCGGGTCGTCAATTGAGATTTCTTTCCATCCGAGACAAGCGCACCAATGGGGCTCTATGAACGCATCTGCGCATGTTCTGTCTAGAGGCATCTAAAGAGTACGATATTAATTTAACTCTCAGAAATTTAATCGTAAGAAAAGCTATACAAACTCCCTTGTAAAATCTATTATTACAATAATTACAGTAAATTAACTCAATAATTTGCTTGTAATTTCCAAAAGAAATTAAAGATCGTTTTATTAAATCATAAAGTAGGAAAAGAATAACAGTGTTAAAAAAAATGATTCAATCAGTAGGTAAATTGTGACCTCGAAGGATGAAGTGGTGGGGATACATACATAGATATAGAGCGACATTTCATTCAGTCAGTATTACTCAGAGCTCGTGTTGTGCCACAAGTGATACGCTTGATCGCGGCCGATTTACTTCCCAAGATTTGCCCGTAATTCTTTTTTTAGTATGCCTGATACACAACTTGAATTGAATGTGTTTGTGATTGTGCACGATCTTTGCGATAAACGTGTGTTTGTACGTTCACTTATCGTTTTATTGTGTTCTTTCATGGATACACTTAATCTCTGCCAATCTTTCGTATCTTCAAATCTAAGAAAAATATTTAAGTGACCTGTTCCTGGTAACTCATCTCTTTAGAACTCTTTAGAAGTATTATCGATCTAGTTCATATCGCAAGCAATTTCATTTTTAAGGGAACTCGATAAGGCGTTCACTTGAATGAGTATAAATAGTCGAGATAAGTGTCCGTGCTATCGTCAACTCTAAGACGTTTCAAATTATTGTGCCTTGCTCAGGAAAAGAATTTGATTTCGATTTTGTTGAAAGGTCTAAAAATTTTGCTGAAAACAGATTTGAAAATTAATTCTTGTTGAATCATTAAAAAATTTTGTTGGAATATTAAAAATGTTAAGCACTGCTATAGAACATTTTGATATTCTAGCAATTATTTTGACTTTCCCACAAAATTATTTTGATTATTAGACAAAAGTTATTTTCAGATCTGGATCCAACAAAATTGTTCTTTCAGTGCTCGTTTTCATTAAAAAAAAAAAAGTTCAATTTTTATGATTAATAATATCGCGATGAGATAAAAATTGCATATCTTTGTCGATAATTTTATTCAATATTGTAATCAGTATTCCCTTCGTGTAAGTTCTTCATATAATTTTTACATTATATTTGTAATTAAAAATCGACATTCAACTGATTTTTATCTACATCTGCAGAATATATCATGTTTTATCTCGAATAATTTATAGTTGAGATCAGTCTTAGAATTCTATTTTTAGAAGCGTATTATCAGACGTCATTAGTACTGCTATTAGACAGTATTGTGGCACACATTCTTGCATGCATGACGTCATCCAACGTCCTGCGTTATTACTAAAGTTACTATGGTTACTACATAAAAGAGTGTCGTTTCTGTGAATTATAAGAATTGCTAGTTATCAAAATATCAAATATATAGTAAAAGGCTTGGAACTGATTAAATTCAAGTTTTTCTTTTTGTGTTATATAATATTATATTATAATTTAAAAAAACGTAAATCTTAACATTATATCCCAAATTGGCAAAAGTTACAATGAGCACGTAACAAATAATAAAACAAGATTCAATTCTTAATTTCGATATTTGTAAAATGCATTGTAATATATTAAGTTCGAAATTCTAAAGTGCACACAACTGTAATTAACATGCAATGCATGATTAATAAAGAATTAATGCAATATAATTTTGTTGAATTAACTGGATATTGTTAATTTAACTGGATATAAAATGCACACAGTCAAGATTTTTATTTTTTATGTTTATTTGCAAATAAAAATAAAATATCACATTTGTCGAGTTTTCTTTGTATAGCGTTATTAATAAAATTCGGCGAAATTAAATCGATACATTAATCTTTGGCGTTAACTTACCTTGTCAAACAAACTGATGGCTCTCTGACGACGATCTCCATCCTTTGGCGTATCAAAGTTAAGTATGTTCTCCAATGTCTTGTGTATATCAAATGGTGTCGCTAAGTACTGTGTATTGTACACGAAATTCGCGTACGCTTGCGGATGGACTTGCTTGAACCAGGGTGGAAAAATGAAGGAGAAAAACGGCAATCTTTCCTCTTGCTTACCTTGCAAAGTGTTACGAATATCCGCAAATCTATAAAGCGAAAGTAACAAGTGTTTGCATGTGTATAAAGTATAAAAGAGATCAGCATTTATATATAGAAAATATTCAAACCTGTGTCCATGATCGCTCATCAATATCAAAATGGTATTGTTTAAATGTCCAAGCTCGTTAAGATCCTTCACCCACGAATATAAATCGTTGTCCACTACACCGATGTCGTTGTAAGAGTCGTGAGAAAGTTCTCCGTGAAACCCAAATGCGAATTTCGGCTGATTTTTATACGCATTGAACATTGTTTTCATGTAATTCATCATCACCTACATAAATACATATACTACAATAATTACGGGAATAATTAGTAAAAATCGTTAACAAGAATATGTAAGTCGAGGAGAAATTTCCATTTGATTTAATGATACTATAATAGGATGTTCTGAAATTCGCGAATCAAAATATTTTATTAAGAAAGTCTTTGATAAAAAGTTATTTGTAAATTTTTATTTTAAGCAGTATAGATTTGAGATATAAGAGAGTTTAAATTTAACCAATTATAGATTGGTACGCGCGTGAAGTGCGCGATTACTAACACTATGGACGCGCTCACGGATATGTTTCCGTTTAATCGTAATCTATAATTGGCTAAATTTAAATTTATATATATATATATCTCAAGAAACTACTGCTTAAAATAAAAAATTATACAAATAACTTTTTTACTTAATTTTTCGAAGACCTTCTTGGTATAATATTTTGATTCGCGAATTTCGGGACACCCTGTATATACGTAACTTTAAATTGTATTATGATTTAACATGATTAAATCTAATTTAAATCGAGACGTCGAAAAATATATCTTTAGCTTTCTCTCGAATTGGGGCGCGCGTTATTTCGTTTTTTTTATCTTATCAGTGAATTCATAATGCGACCTATTACGTACCATATGACGTGGAGTGCCGGCTATGCAGAATTTGTTATACGTTTTGAAGTACGGAGAGGCGGCTAGGTAATAGGTGCGCATGTAGTGGTGGGTCGGTTGCTTGTCAAACCCTTTCAAGCGGTAAGTAAACGTGCCGATGTGCGGCACGTCCTCCATAAAACCCGTTATGTATCCGTGCTCCTCGTACTTGTTCCATATCATAGGATACACGTCGACGTAATTCGCCTTGTGGATTCGTTTACGCGTCTCCGGTAGCTCGAGCTCGATCTTGCCGGTTAAAATCGGGATGAGCGCCTGCGGAGTGCCGTCCCCCACGATGTTGTATCCCTCGAGCACCAGAGCGTTCAGCTGTTTCATAAAGTGATATGTCTTGGGCAGTTTGCGAATGAACGTGTTTCGTGACAGCGAGTCGAAGCCGAACATGAGCACGTTCAATTTCAGGATCGTGTCCGGCATGTTGTCCCACTTGTGCTTCCGCTTGATATACGGATCGTATTTTACACCTGCGAGTATGCTGTGCCACCTAAAACACGTTCACTATCAGTACAATACATAACACTGGGTACGTCGTTGAAAGTAAATAGGCAAACAACAATATTACATAAAGATAAATATTTAATAGTCAAGGCTCGATAATTAAAAATAAAATCAATACAGATAATGGACTATGAGCCAATTAAAGCTTGGTTGTTATTTCGCTCTAATGTTTATTTATTTAATTTTTTATTGATCTTTTATTTTTATATGTTCGTTCCCATTGGCTTAATCTAATTTTTATAAAATATTAAAATCAATACAGATAATGGGCTATAAGCCTTGGTTGTTATTTAGCTTCAATGTTTATTTATTTAATTTTTTATTGATCTTTTATTTTTATATATTCATTCTCATTGGTTTAATCTAATTTTTATGTAATATTAAAATCAATACAGATAATGGGCTGTAAGCCAAAGCTCATGGTTGTTATTTCGCTCCAATGTTCAACAAATTCTTAATAATAAAAATAACACATGTAATGGGCTATAAGCCAAAGCTTAGTTGTTATTTTGCTCCAATGTTTAACAAATTCTTAATAATATAAATAACAAATTATATTATTACAAATTTGTTAAACATGGAAGCAAAATAACAACCAAGCTTTGGCTCATAGCCCATTATCTGTATTGATTTTAATATTACCTAAAAATTAGATTAAGCCAATAAGAACGAACATATAAAAATAAAAGATCAATAAAAAATTAAATAAATAAACACACGTATTAAAATTCGTGGATTACAATAAGAAATTCTCACATATCTATAATTTATCAAATGTTTCAAGCTGCTGCACAGAGCCTTCTTCAGCGAAGTTATATACTTTGTTAATGATCCGCGAGGGCTGTGAAAGATTGGGAGTACGTTAAACTAATTAAATGATAATAGAGTAGTGAGTACATTAGTCTGTATAAATAAATAATAGTAAAACAATACTGCGAGTAGTGAGTACATTAGTCTGTATAAATAAATAATAGTAAAACAATACTGCGAGCGCGAGCATAACAGACAGCGGTCTGTTATGCCAAAGATCCCAGGTTCGATACCCGGTAGACTCAACAAAGTTTCATACACTCGCGTCTCCTCTCCGGAGGTCTGATAAACCATCGAGAGTATCCTTAGCAACAATTACCGCGGAGACCGAAAACTACCGTTCGGAATCAGCTTTAAATTGTAGGACCCATATGTCTGTGTACAATCAGCGCACCACAGACATATGAAGAGAGATATGATAAGCCCTAGGGCTCGATATGAGCTGTAGCGCAATCGAAGAAGAATAAAGCAATACTGCAAGCCTAACCGTATCTATATTAATAGAGTCAAGAGAAACACGTCCAGGTTTAAAGTCGACAGAAATTACAAAACAAATCAAAATGCGTTATTACTTGGAAGCCGTGTCGAGTTAACATTAAACATTGTATAATAACGCATTCAAATAATAATCTTGATTTGTTTTATGTTAATTCCTCGTTCGACTTTAAGTTTAGATTCTCTTGACTTTATTAATATCAGGGTTGGTATTGCCTAGTTAAGAAGATAAATGTTAAATTAAAATTAATTAATTTTAACTTAACTTAGTTACATTTTATCGGTAACTATTAACTTTTAATCTAACTTACTTGAAGTTACATTTTTAATGCTTTTTGTAAACCCAAAATAAAATACATATCTGCGTTGGTGTTTTAAAACTCAAATTTGAGAACACACAAGGCAATTGTTATAATATAATAAATATAGTCTGACCGCGGGTAGGACTGTCCGCGGATCTTCTCTGCATAAAATTATGCTGGAAAAAGTCCTTCGAAATCGATCGTCTTTCCACGGCTCGACAGAAATAAGTATAACAAATATAAACTTTATTTAGAAACCCTAAAATTATAAAATAAAAAAATTTAACTTTTAACTTTTTAATTTCCTTTTTTATTAACTTAACTTTTAAATAAATTAATTTTATTGTTAACTGTCTTGTATCTTAACTAAGTTAAATTTTTAAGACTGTTAACTTAAATTTAATTTAGTTAAAAAAAATATTAACTTATCGGACCCCTAATTAATATAGAAATGATTAAGATTACAGTATTGCTTTATTAGTTTAATTAATCTAAGGTACTCATTACTATTGTTTAAGTAGTCTAATATACTCACAATCTTTATCCTTGCGGGTCATTAACAAAGTATAATTCCGTTAAAGAAGATTCTGAAGCTTAAAACGTTCGATAAATTATAGATATGAGAATTTCTTATTGTAACCCACGAATTTTAATGTGTTTGTTCATTTAATTTTTTATTAAACTTTTATTTTTATCTGCTGGTTTCCATTGGCCTAATTTTTATGTAATATTGTTGAATTACGAGCTTGAATTTAACTTATCTATAAATAGGCAAATCAACTAACACGTCTCCGCTCTTCGACTTGCATCTGACATCTGCAAAATCGCTCTCCCTCAAAATGTAAAAATCATCAGCCTCTATGCCATCCAACAATTTTGTATTGTAGTCATCTGTTCTGATAATTTCTAAAAAAAGATAATACTATAATTAAATAATATTTAATAATAATAATTTTACGTTAATAATTATTAGAAATCATTACGATGTTTTTATCTATGTAATAAGTATATGAAGAATATTCGTTTTTAACTTACCACTGAAGATGCATTTTATTTGTCCGTGTTTCGTCTTTGCTTTATTCGTAATAACAAGTCTCGAGCCTTCCACTGTAATCCAATCATCTGGTCCACAAGATAAGGGTGGTACATCATGTATGAACCTCATTATTTCTGGACTAGAGATATTTAACTGAGGTAATTTGCACGCAACGGCACCATCTCTGCACAAATATATTAATAAAAAATGATAAATATATAAAATACGAGAGAGAGAGGGAGAGAGATAATTTTTTCTTAGCAATATTTACATAAAATATTAATTAGAATATGTTATGTGCAATTCAGGTCACTTGCTGAAGGGAAAGTAAGTATATCACATATACATACCTCACATAGGACTGTTCCGATTCTTTGATCAATTGTGATATGTACATTCTGAAATTATTCAACAGTTATTAGTTACAGGATGCAAAAACGTACATCGATATTTGGCACTTTAAAAAAATATTACTTACAATTTGTTTAAATTTGACATATCAGATTCAGTGAATCCTAATTCTATTCGTATCACTTGTACGACACAAAATAAAAGTGCCAGGCACAGTCCCGCAATTATGCAGCGGCGAAAATGACACGCTGTGACCCTCATGTTGATTCAGTTTATTTCTGTAAAGTAAAAAAAAAACATTAGCAACTTAAGGTTAACTAAGATAAATAATTTTATGCGCTATAACTCTCTACCAATGCATGAATTATATTTTTCTTCCACATTTATTCAACAATACGAGCTACTACTTTTGTTGTTCTCGCGAATATGAAAGAATTTAAAAAGACTAAAAATAAAACCTCTATGATATGTCAGAATGATTTAAAAGTATAGTTCATTTTAATAATTCGCTTTTTGAAAACAATAATTGAGTAACATAATTGAGAGGTTTAATACAAATCACTCGATTGAAACAAGTTAAAATACAAAATTATTTCGTGCTATAATGGCATATTCTCTTACTCTGTTAGTGTAATTGTTGTATGAAAATGACAATTGATCCCAACTGAAACTGACATGTGAGAGTGACTGCGTCAGAGACCACCGCTGTTGTTGGCTGCTGCACGAGGCGGATGTTGGTTTTGCTTATCATAATATACGCGATAATGGTATGATGTATTGCCGAATATCACAGTTGCGAATATCGAAAATATTTTTCTTCTGGCGCTGTAATTTCAATATAGTCACTTATCCCGTTGAACTCATAAAATAGCCCGATAATATTATCCCTCTTTTAAATGGCATCAGTATTGCAGCCTGTAAATACACATATATTTTTTAGATTAAATGTAATATATATTTTATGCATAATACATGCATTTTATTAATCACAATGTTATGTTATGCTATCTTCCGTTTAACTGTTTCAATGCACAGTGTTTCATTTATCTCAGATCTCTATATCTGAATTCAACTCTGACATTTCTGACTCTTACATATTTTGTGTGTGAAATACTTCAGTAAAGTTGAAAACTTTCACATTTTCTGATAACGGCTGAGAAAAATTTAGCACTATTGCATTAACACACCAAGTGATAAGTGACCGGGCAGATCGTCTAGCGTCACAAGCCACTTGCAAGAACTGTGTACTGTATGAATATTTAAACATCCAAACAATGGCATTCGAGAGCGAGAACGGCGAGTCTCTCATGTTACAACTTAGGTAGATAAAATGTAGATTAAATGCCAATGACAAACGCGCATTTTATTATTAATTTCAGCACGCACGCATGCAATGTATGCACGCGATTGTCGCATAGCGGGAAGGCCTTACACACACGTGCCGCAAAATAAAAAATAAAAAACGAAGCTCTAGATGCCGCATTATCACTGACCGATTCTGACGAGGAGAGATTTCCGATGAATTCGCCGACGAGGGTTCGACGGCGAAAATGCGAAAACGCGCGTCGATCAGTAACGTTCGATGAACGACGGTAGTTCGGCGGGAGAACGCATGGCACGACAAATGGCTAGTGTGTATAACATACAGCAAGAATACGACAGAGATCCCGTCCGTCGAGAAAGAGAGAGAGAGACGAATGCATCGACCTCACGCACACGGGCTGGAGTTCACACGGTCCTCACCGGGGGAGGGGGGGGAGCCGGGCTGCATCATGTGTGCGACGCGGAGGTGCACCTGACGCTGGAACGGAGCGATCGGAGCACGGAGCGCGTCGTCTCGACCGCGTTCCCGCAGTTCCCGAGAATCTCTAAGCGGTCCAGCGGAGCGCGTCGCGACGCATCGGCGTCTCGGCGGCGGCGGCGGCGGCGTCGTCGTCGCGGCTCATCGCGGCGCGTTCGACACCCCCGGACAAAACGTGGACGCCTCACCGTCGTCTCTCCCCGACGTTAAAATCGGTGCTCGTTCCGTAAGTTTCGCTGCGCGTCGCACCGAAACGGTGAGACGTCTGGCAGGTCCGTTCGATTCTCCGCATTCAACATGTATGTACACGGCCCGCACGTGTATTTGTGCATGCGTGTGTGTAAGGTACGGTAAGGGTATAATGGAGTGCGTTAATGCTGTTCGGCCTGGTCGTGTCTGTGAAGGACAATTCGTGATTCTTTCTTGGAAAAGAGAAATTTTTCGACCTTTTTTTTTTCGAGGAATTTTACTTTTCTAAAAATTTCATGTAATACACTTAATTTGACAGATTAATATAATATTTAATAAAACAATTTAATAAATATTATTTTCATGTAACAAAAAATTTGACGAGACGTATTAAATAAAGTTAAAGAATCGAAATTGTTCGACTATTATATTTTTGCTTATTCATATATTATATATATGTTACTTTTTAATGTACAAGTATTATTATAGTGCCCTCAAACTTTGTATTAAATAAAGTTAGAAGATTAATTTTTGAGAGAAAGAGGTTGGAAAATTTTTTTCCTAGTTAAATTATTTTTTAATATAAAATATTTGTTAATATATTAAAAAATAATCTGGTTAACAAAAAGAGACATTCAAACTAATATTAAAAACTGCTGTTCAATTAACGTACGCATTTCCTCGACGTGACGGTTGACACGGCACGATTGGCGCGAATGGAGATGCTTCTCAATCGTTGCGAAGAAATGTGACCGTCGAACGGTGAACCGGATGCTGGACACCATTAACCCGTCCGATCGTACTTACGAGAGATCCTCTCGAGTCCGCGATAGATGCACGGGCAGCGAATGCAGCTGTGAGCGACAACATGTCGAAAGTCGGGGACGATCGATGGATGACCGCGACGTCATATGCGACTCAAGTTCAATCTTTCCAGGAGTACGTACAAGGACATATTTCCTTCGTCGAGTTGCCGTATATAGATATTTTCCGCATTCTCACAAGAACGGGATTGATCGATCGGTGACTGAAACTGTTCACGTCCAAAGAATTTCGCGAAGGCATTTATATGTTTTCAGATATTCCATACGAGATTTCCGTAATATATAAGTAAATAAATATATATTCTTTTATTATACTAGAACAAAACAAAGCGCGCGCTTTGCGCGCGCTCTTTATTCACTATCCCTGAAACATAACACATACACACACACGTACGCACGCACGCACGCACGCACGCACGCACGCACGCACAAATACAAAATCATATTAAATATCTCATTACTTTTATATATCTTTTACATATATCTCATATCCTATCTAAAAAAGCATGTTAAGTCGATAACTTCCATTTCTCGTCTTACTTTCTTCTTTCAGGTATCAGTTTTTGTTACATACATAATTATCAGATGCTGTGTCTAATTAAATTCATTGGTCTTTTATAAAATATTACATAAGTACATGTTCACCTTTG